AGAGAGAGAGAGAGAGAGAGAGAGAGGAGGAGGAAAAGAATTGGGGACGAGAAGGATTTTGTTCTTAGTATTGGGGTTTTTCTTAGCCAATTTCTCTTCCCTCTAATCGAGGATTTGGTTTCCCCCTTCCCAATCTCTGCCTCTCCTTGTTGCTCGCTTAGGATCCACGAGTGAGATCAAAATAGGTCATTTGATCGGGGGGAATTGATCTGTTTGTTGATTGATAGGGCCTTTTATTTGATTGGTTGGTGTGGTTTCTGGATTTATTGATCGTTCTTGGAGTCTAGGGTTCCTGTTTTGTTTTTGTTTGTATAGATGGACGAGGCCTGGGAGAGGGCCGTGGAGGCGGCGCTCGGAGGTCAGGCGGACTCGTCGTCATCATCGTCGGCGCCGCCTCGGACCCTCACCCTTGACGGCTCCGTGAAGTGCCTCCACGGCCGTCTGCCGCCACCCGAGATCCTGGAGCGGTACCAGTCGCTGGAGCACCTCTCGATCGCTAACGTCGGAGTGTCGTCGCTGGAGAAGTTCCCGCGTCTTCGGAACTTGCAGCGGCTTATACTCTCCGACAACCGCATCGCCGGGGGGCTCGAGTTCTTGGTGGAGGCGGGTCTGGATTCGCTGCGGGACCTCGATCTATCCAACAACCGGATCCAGTTCCTGGAGGACCTGGCGCCTCTGGCTCACCTCCGGCTCGTATCCTTAGATCTGTATGAATGCCCTGTTACTAGGACCAAAGATTATCGATCAAGGGTGTTCGGAATGATCAGGACTCTGAAATATCTAGACAAGATGGATGCCGATGAGAATGAGCGACCAGAGTCTGACGAGGAAGAGGAGGAGGAGGAAGATGATGATGAGGAGGATGAGGAGGAGGATCCTGGCAGTGGCGAGGTTGATGGTGATGATCAGGCTGGGAGGTTGGTGAACGGTGTTGGTAGTGGCGCTAGAGGAGGTGGGATTGTCGATGTCGACGAGGAAGATGAGAGTGATGCTGAAGAGGAGGACGCTGAAACGGTTAGGAGGGCCGATTCCAATGCATCATTACAGAGGTATCATCTAGCTAATGGATTTCGGGTGGCCCCAGTCGGTGTTTCTTCTTTAGACGGGGAAGAAGATGAGGACGAAGAGGAGGATGTCGAAGATGATGATGACGAAGAGGAAGACAATGATGAAGATCTGGGGGAGGAGATTGATGCAGAGGATGGTGACGAGGAGGATGTGGTTGAGGTGCATGACGTTGGGGACAGCGATGAGGATATTGATGGGGTCGAAGAGGATGGCGAGGAAGAGGTGGATGAAGAGGAAGAGGATGATGAGGATGGTAGCGGGGAAGAAGACCAGGAGGACGTCGAGGATGAAGAGGATGACGGTGTGCCTGGAAGCTCGGGGAGATTGATTAATGCAGAAGGGGAGATTGATGGTCACGAGCAAGGCGAAGGGGATGAGGATGAGAATGGAGAGATTGGAGAGGAGGATGAACAAGGAGTGGATGACGATAGATTTTCTGAAGAGGGTGATGGCGAGGATGATGACGAGGTATAATAACTTATCAAAACATATCCAGTGTGTGTTCTGTATAAAATTTATTCCATGATTAATTATTGATTGTTTTATCTAATTGGTCTTAGATGATATATGTGATATAATATTAATTTTCCAACTATTGATTTATGATAGTAGTTTTTTCAACATCTTTTGGATGTGATATTTTTTTGGTATTACTTAGTTATTTTCTCGGCGATTCTTTGGTTCAAAGAAACAAACTCGGTTATCACATTTTACTATCTCCTTTTTTTTATCTGATGGATTTTCATGGAATATTTTGTCTTGTTGTAATTTAAGAAAAAGATAACTGTATAACCAAAAGGATAGTTAAATAGTCCATGTTGTAGTGGATCTCTTTGCTGCCATGCATGTTGGTATGCAACCATACCTTTGGTTATAAGTAGCTCTTAGACTAGAATTTTCTTCAAATGAGTGAAGCTTCCATGATTTGATTGTAAAGCTGAAATTAGATTTGTTGTTAAGTACTTTTGATTAGTCTAGCATGCTCCTTTGGTAATAATGAACCTGCTGACTGTGCAGTTGTGTATTCACCATCAACACTATTAGTCTCCTCATATGGATAATGACAAGATTTAACATGTTATGGTGGCTTATCCTTTATAAGCCTTCTTCGGTATATGCTTTTTTTGCTAAATATAACACTGTCTTTCGGTTAGATTTAGGTGTTATCAAATTCCATGATTATCCGAATTATTTTGAAAAATGAAAGTATGTTTGGACTGTATGACTATTTTTGTCATGGACATGTACCTTATTTTGTCAAATTAAAAAAAACAGATAGGTCCCACCCAAACCCAAAAAGCCAAACACAAAGCCCTGCTAGATGAGATTGATTGTATGTGTTGAATTTAGAACTGATAAGTCTTGAGTGTATGCGATGTACGTGTTGGGGTTCTGTTAGAAAACCCTCTTGGTCTCGAAGGCTCAACACAAAATTACTGTTTTCTTGCACCAGTCCATTTAGTTACCTTTAGTTGCTCTGAAGTCATTAGTGTTACGGAAACCTTATCTTTGCATTAATGTGCTTTCCAATACCTCTCTCTGCTTCTCGAGTGTTCTGAATCAAGCCTGATTACTTTGCATGTGGACTTAATAGTTAGTTCTTTGAATATATTTTCGTGAGAGCATGATTCATCTGTTGCTTTCCCCACTTTGCCAGTAAATGTAATAGCCTGTTTTCTTCTTTGTAGATTGTGTCTGTTATGCTAATGCTAGATTTTTTTTTGGCCATGTAATTCTTTGTTGATCATTGATCTTTTCACCTGCCTTGTTTGGTTTGTGATAGTTAGCCACTCATCTCAGTAAGGACTGTACTATATAATGTTGTATTTAGGTATCTTCTTTTGGTGTTTTGTAGGTTTGCTTAGCCCTGCATATTTTCATTTCCTTTTTCAGAGAAATTTTTGTTTCATGATAAATTTTCTTGAATTTGATTCTGCAGGATGATGATATTGGCGGGGAATATCTGGTGCAGCCGATTGCTCAACCTCCAACAGTAAGAAGAGATTTTGATGCTTGCAATGATGAAGAAGAAGACGAGGTTGACGACGAGGAAGATGATCCTCACAGGAACACTACCTTGCCACACCAGCCTTCCTCTTCTCAGCCTAACAAGAGGAAGAGAGATGAAGAAGATGACATAGATGATCAGAATCTGAGATCCTCCAAGCATCCTTGATGATTCACCAGCAGTTTGAAGGACATGGTGGGTTTTTTTTCCTACAAGGCCTGTCTAGATCTTATTAGTTCAAAAAACTAGGAGGGAAGAGTTCTCCAGTAGGTTTCTTCCCTCTCTCTTCCCCACCCCCTCATTTCAAAAGTTCGGTAGTATCTTTGTCAGTACATGTTTTCCCGTTTTGCCGTTGGAACCCTTCCTTTCAAATGGCAGTTATATATACCTATGAGGCTTGAGTTTTTCCCTCCATGCTGTGCAGCGAGTTCAAATTCTAGTAGCCGTTGCCTCCTTTTGATTTACGCACATTATCCATCCGGGCTCCCAGTTCATCTGATATTGTGGTATGGATCCCTCGTATCAATCAGATATTGCATCGAACACCTGGTGTGCCTGATGCTGTTGTCAGGTCTTGCGGGAATGCGGTTGCATCCGCTGATGTGGAGAGAACCACATGCGTCGGTGGTGGGAAAATTTTGGTGGCTCCCCAAAGTGGTAAACTTTATAGCCTCACACATAGCTGTTAATTGACTTCTTTACATGGCTAATGATGCCTCTCCAATTATCTTGTCGTCTTTGGGACAGCTGTGATATGGGGCTTAGCGGTGCCAACACGCCAAAGGCCCGCTATGGCCACCGCCCGGTCCCGTTACCCATCTCATTCATTGAGTTGCATCGCGTCGGATCGCGCCCCTGCCAGCGGTGCTGTGATACCAATTAATCAATGATGGACTCCGATCAGCCATCGTTGGATTGCAAAATGCGGCCCACTCCATGCGCTTGCGAGTCACTGATCTCCTAAAAGCATTGAATCTGATCCGAGACGTCTTTCTCCCAAGTCCGACTGCGGTGGCTGCATTCAACTATATAATTGCAGTACTTCAGAAATACTCAAACCGTGATACTTACGACGAAAGGGGACATATCTGTAAATTTGCATAAATTGTCCGTCCCAAGCGGCGTCAGAAACGTGACACGAGACTCACATGCTTGACATTTTGATTCCATGGATGTAGGTCTTATCGATGCATCCTCCTTAGCCGCGATCTGTTGGGTTCAACCTGACCCGGAACAAGATACGCGGTCGGGCTCCATGGGCATGGCGCGGAGAAACGAACGGCCCCGGGGCGACAACCCAGGATAAGGAGGTGCTCGCATCTCCTCCGCTGCTGCACATGGCGTCTGCGTCTCTCACGAGCCTGCTCCTCCCGCCTGCTTCCGGGCCCCTGCTTCGCTCGCCTGACCGTCGCGTGCGGCGGCAGGCGGCCATCAAGTGCAAGGCGAAGGACGCCGGGAGCAGCAGCGGCGGCGGGGGCGGGGGTCTCGAGATCGCGGTGGCGGCGGGCGGCCTGCTGTCGTGCCCGGTGATCGGAGTCTCCCTGTACACGCTGAAGACCACGGGCTGCGGGCTGCCGCCGGGTCCCGGCGGGTCGTTCGGGGCGGCGGAGGGGGTGAGCTACCTGGTGGTGGCGGGCATCGTGGGGTGGTCGCTCTACACCAAGGCCAAGACCGGGTCGGGACTGCCCGCGGGGCCGTACGGCCTCCTGGGGGCCGCTGAGGGTCTCTCCTACCTCGCCGCGCTCGCCGTCATCGTCGTCTTCGGCTTGCAGTTCTTGGAGCGAGGGTACATTCCCGGACCTCTCCCCGGTGACCAGTGCTTTGGGTGAGCTTGATCCTTTGTTTATCTTGTCTCCCCGTCTGATTGCCGAAGCAGTACTTTATTGCCTGTTCTTTCCTTATGACATATATTAAAAGATCAAAAAGATGAATTGTGCATGTAATAATTTGATTTACGATTTTAAAAGTATATATCGTATTTGCTAACGAATTTGTCAGTCAAAAGTCGATTTATTATCTTTTCTATCATTTTTGAACTAATTATCTTTTAGCTTCTTTTTTTAATCTTATTATAAGGGGGCAATTATACGGAAAAAATATATATGTTCGAATGTGTATCTTATTAAAATAGAGAATGTTCTTTCCAACATTTCCAATACAAAAAATTATGCCTAAAAATATATCCCTTCATAAGAAGGAGGATTTTGTGAGTCGAGGATGTTTCCGAAACCCTCGACGTGCTCTTATGTCAAAGTACAACAACAATAACAAAGTCATGACAAAGTCCCAACTATCACATTTAAACCATTGAATTCACTTATTAAAGCTTAACTTGCATAAATACAAATCATACCAAATTTATATACTCTCATATTTTCAGAGTTATATATTAAGAATTTAAGAAAAAAATATATGTATTCTGTATAATGGTAAGAATATTTGATTAAGATTGTATATATTCATTCTCTCCCGATCTACGTTATATACGGTTGCACAAAGATATTTATGATGATATTACTCATATTTTGTTTCCTTCATCTCTTGTTATAGTTTACCACATTGGCGACATCGTCCAATCATGGGTTTAGTCGAATAGGGTTAAAACAAGAAGAAATGGGGTAAGAATAATAAGATAATAATGTAATATGACATAATCATGAGGTGATGATGATTACGATAGGAATAATTTTACCTTAAAAAAAAAAGGCATGTGATAGGATAAAACAAAATGCGACAAAGAGAAGGTGAAAACATGAGGTTTTCTTTTAGGAATTGGCATATATCTATCTATATATACATACGATTTCTATTTTATTTTTGTTGTGTGATTGACATGAGACGTTGGATATGCACTCTTCTCCATCATCTGCCGTTAACAAAGCACGTGCGTTCGCATGTGTTCCTATCCGTGCGATTCACGTGGTCCCTTGGATTTGCGCTCTCTTGCCTCAGCCACCGTATACAAAAATACGCATGCGAACGCATCGAGTCCCGACCTCTATCCCTCGGCGCAGTTAACCGAACTTTGGGGCCGGTTACCAATACAAATCTTGCACCGCAGAAGGAGGACTCTCGAGTGAGTCGAGTCTCCCTGCGTTTCTCTCTCTCTCTCTCTCTCCACGGAGCCGGTCGATCCCTTCTCTTCGTCGATCTCATCGGATCTCGCGGCTCCGACATGGCTCAGCCCTTCGTGAAGAAGGACGACGATCTCGACGAGGAAGGTCGTGTCGAAACCCTAATCAAACCCTCTTGTCTCTGTCGAATCCGTGGCTTTCTTCGTTTTCGCCTAAAATGATTGTTTCTTGATCAAATTCAACCGTTGCATCAAGCTTCCGACGTGGATCCGCCACTTTCGATGTGGATCTGTGTGAAGAGCCCTTTTCCTTTCGGAATTTATTACTTCTTACGATAGATCTGATGTGGTGGAGATGTTATTTCCCGGTGGAGTGATGGAATTAGCCTTATTTTCTCCGTCTCATGAAATGTAGTGCTCTTGCCTTTTAGATCTGGCTGGTATTTGATGGGCGGAGGAAGATAGACTGTACTGTAACTTAGATCTAAGCTCGTGTTATTTGTGTTCGAGAAAATTGATAGCCGTATCGTTCATAATTTGATTCGTTCTTTTGTGTATTGCAGAGGAATACTCTCCCTTCCACGGAATAGAGAAAGGTGCAGTACTACAGGAGGCCAGAGTGTTCCACGATCCTCAGCTCGATGCCAGAAGATGCTCACAGGTAACCTTATCCCGAATCTAGATATGTTCTGTTTCACGTGCATTTAGAGGAACATCTAGATGGACTTCTTTAAATCATCATTTTGAGCCGTTTCTACAGGTGATCACAAAACTTCTATATTTGCTCAATCAAGGAGAAACTTTTACCAAGGTGAGATCCTGGTGTTATCTGATATCCTTTGCAGCTTTTGTTATGCCTCAAGTCTTTCACGTCTCTGTTAACTTGATTTTGTAGGTTGAAGCTACGGAAGTCTTTTTTGCTGTGACAAAACTGTTTCAGTCCAAGGATACAGTGCTGAGGAGAATGGTTTATTTGATGATTAAGGAACTTTCACCTTCTGCTGACGAGGTTAGACAACAATAATCTGCCTTAAAATAGTTTTGTGATTTATGTAACTTGTGGTTTGAGGATAACTTGTTGATTTATGTTGTGTAGGTTATTATCGTCACAAGCTCATTGATGAAGGATATGAATAGTAAGACCGATATGTATAGGGCCAATGCTATACGAGTCCTTTGTAGGATCATAGATGGTACTCTTCTTACCCAAATTGAGAGATACTTGAAGCAAGCGATTGTTGACAAAAACCCCGTTGTTGCTAGTGGTGCACTCGTGAGCGGAGTTCACTTGCTTCAGGTACTGTTTCATCTCTCTTGGTTGTGGTCATTGTTTACTTTCAGGTTTAACATTTTCATTTATGTTAATCTAAAACAGACAAACCCTGAAATTGTAAAAAGATGGAGCAATGAGGTTCAGGAAGCTGTTCAATCAAGAGCTGCTCTGGTTCAATTTCATGCACTAGCGCTTCTTCACCAGGTGCATTTTACAATATAACAATTTGTTGACACCTTAAATGCACTTGTGAAATTGCATCCTTTCATATATAAAATTTGAGTGTATGCATCAACATGAGAGGGAATTGCATCAGTTATTTTATATGCATGCACGTTGGAACCATCAAACCTACTGAAAGGGTGAAAGTGAGTTGGACAATATCCATTAGATTACATTTATGACAGATAGGAGCTGGATATGGCCACAACATGCGTTTGTCATATACTTATATTCAAATTTTGTGATCTCAAGTCTTCTTGATATATGTTAGTTTTTTTTATCTTAAAACATTAAATTTAATATATTAACCTAGATAAGGTCGTTATGTCATTATTTTTTTTATGCATAATATATTTTGTTCTCCTCATTCTTTGTTTTATCTCACATTTGTTTTAAAATTTCTTATCCAAAAAATAATTGATTTATTAATTTCTGTTGCCATTTTTTAAAGTTTCATCACAGTTTTATCATGCCTATTATTTTCCTTGTCTATTTCCTAGGCCATATAGGAGTCAAGATTTTTCTACTAATGTTTTTGCAACTATCTGCAAGCAGTCCTATTTACGCTCCTATTAGGACATGAAATTTATTTTAGTTATATGTCTATTCTTTTAGGTAGTGAGGTTTGTCTATTTTCTATAAGTGTGTGCTGACTATTATGAGATTATAAGATAAGGCAAAATCTAGAATTACATCTCTCTCTTCATTGTTTTCCTTGTATCCTCTACTTAAAGGGATCATTCCAGTTCTTCATCTAAATTCACTTTAATAAAAGCATTTTTACTTGCAGATAAGACAAAATGACCGCCTGGCTGTTAGTAAGCTGGTTACCAGCTTGACAAAAGG